TGTACCTATCAACCCATCACCTAGGTATTAAGCCCAACACACATTAGCTATTTTTCCTACTGCTCTCCCTTCCCCAACATTTTTTTTTTTTTTGAGACAGAGTCTCACTCTGTCGCCCAAACTGGAGTGCCGTGGCATGATCTCAGCTCACTGCAATCTCCACCTTCCAGATTCAAGTGATTCTCCTGCCTCAGCCTCCCGAGTAGCTGGATCTACAGGTGTGTACCACCATGCCCAGCTAATTTTTGTATTTTTAGTAGAGATGCGGTTTCGCCATTTTGGCTAGGCTGGTCTCAAACTCCTGACCTCAGCTGGTCCATCTGCCTTGGCCTCCCAAAGTGCTGGGATTATAGGCATGAGTCACCGAGCTCTGCCATCCTCCCAACAAATTTTGACATCTTTTAAATCAAAGGTGCAATTTCTAAAGGTGCTTCTTAATGAAGAACAAGAATTATAAAATTAAGTTGACATAGTTAGATGTTGGGTCCCTAGCGTAACAATGGTACGCATTGGAAAGCTTGTCTATTTGGCTTGATCAGTTTCTCATTGCAGCCTTTGCCTCTCGGCCCCAGGCCCAAGACCTTTTCTGTGGCCCTGTGCTTCAGCCACTTTGACCTGTAGTGAACTATACCCTGAATGTGACATCATTGTAGCCTAACTGTGTGAGGGACGTACCAGGTGCATGTGAATAGACTGTTTCTGGCACACAAAGCAAGTATGTCAGATTGAAAACTGGCTACAAAAGAAATGATTAACACATCGAATAACATAGTTGAAAATGCATCAATGAAACGTGGCATAATAAAAACATCAAGGGGCTTGGACACTGAAAACCTAGCATCAAGTGTTGGTTCTGCCACTTACTAGCTGCTTGATCTTTGGCAAGCCCAGTAACCTCATTGAGCCTCAGCTTTCTTCTGTGTAAACTGAAGGTAATCAGAATAGCTAGCTCACATATTGAGGATCAAATGGGAGAAACCATAATGCAAAGTAGAGTGTCAAATTGATATTAATCTATCATGCTGAACTTCATTAAGCCCCTCCTTTAGCTAATTGTGATTTAATCCATATTTAGCATGCATATATGGACTTTTTTATCTTGTTCAGTCCTAGACCAGCATTTCATGCCAAGATGTTTGATGTTGTTTGGAAATAAAAATATATGCAGCCTTCTCAATTCTAGCTATGAATAATCTAATTTTTACTCTACCAGTTTTTCTAAGAGGTTTCAAACAAACCACAGCTACCCATTTACTGACCAGATCTAGTATTATAAACAGGGGACTTCACCTTGATGAACTAAGGGAAATAATCCCAGTTTCCCCTGACCTCACAGAGCTGTTTTAAGGATTGAATACTTTGAAAAAATATCACATACTATACAAGTGCAAAGGTTGTGAATTCTTGTGTGTTTTTTAATTGTTTAGCAGAGTAACTAATTTCATTATTGAACAGGCATATTGATAAAAATATTTTCAGAAATAAAAAAATGCATGTGACCATCAAAGACTTCTCAGTGTAGCATTGGAACTAAAACATCCAAATGATTCTGTTAGAAAATGAAAGGTGATGCATGCCATTAAAAATGATAGAAAGACAGTGGTTGACATGAAGAGAGGGATGTATAAATGGAAATATCCACATTTAACTGTGTTACAGTATTGGAAAAAATTCACCCACACCAGACTGTAAGCTTCTGCAGTCTCACAGTGTTTGTCTCTTGTCCCCTGATGTAGCCCTAGCAGCTAGAACAGTGCCTTGGCATGTAGTACTTTCTCAGTATCTTAGATGAATGAATAGTTGTCTTTCTGATGAGCATGGATGGCTCATGCTATGACAGTGGGCTGACTTTAACTTATCCTATGTTTCCATAAGAAGCAGAACTTGTTCAGAGATGTCACCTAACCCAGAATCTACCTTAACATCCAGGTCAAATTAAAAGGTTAAGTTTTCATCCTGATGTTACTCCCGTGTGTTTATAGTAGCCATGTATATTTATTTTAGTCACTGTTGATATTTGTTTATCACAGCACCAAGAGACCAGTTATTAAGATATTCAAAAGCTGACCAAACATTCCACATGTCAATTTTGCCTATTTTTTGTGGATGGGGGTGGAATGGGAAATAATGGAGGATTTTTATTTTAACAAGATAATGTGCCAGGGAAGAAGGACAAGTGGCTTTTTTTGGCCAATAGGAAGACTAAAGTCACGTTGAAGTTTTTCATCCAGTTTAGATCTGAAAAGAAATCCTAGAAATTACCAAATTGAAGAAACTGAAATACCCCCCACCTTTTTTTTTTTTTGAGGCAGAATCTCTTTGTGTCACCCACACTGGAGTACAGTGGCATGAACATAGCTCACTGCAGCCTTGAATTCCTGGGTTCAAGGAGGTCCTCCTGCATCAGCCTTCCAAGTAGCTGGGACTACAGACATGTGCTATCATACCCAACTAGTTTATTTTTTTTATTTTTATTTTTTGTAGAGAGAGGGTCTTGCTATGTTGCCTAGGCTGGTCTCAAACTCTTGGCCTCAAGCAGTTTCCCCACCTTGGCCTCCCAAAGCACTAAGATTATAGGCATGAACCACTACTCCTGGCTCCATTTTTTCCAAATAAGATTTCATGCAGGATTCCCATCTATAAAACAGATAAATATTTTATCAATATGATGTCTATTTTAACTTTGTTTTTTACAAGTCTGTCAGTGAGAACACCAGTTAATATATTGGGGTCTTAAATGTCTTAAAAGTTGGTATGTAGCACATGTCAGTGAACTTTTTAAATTTTTTAATGAGCATATGCTTTCATAAATGAAATTAGAATCAAACACCTGGAGAAGCCCCTGAGGCCCACAAATAACAACACTAATCTAGCCCTACCCATTCATACTGTAGATACGGAGTTTGAAACTATAATCTATAGAACCTCATTCTGTCTCTACATTTTACTTTGTGATGTGGTACTATTAATAAATCTGAAGTTGGCTGACTGTCTCAGCACTTCCAGGTTTTAAGGGTTTCTCCAGCTTAAACATCAATAAACATTTGGGGCCATCTTAAAGTTCCAGTGGAATCCAAGGGAATGGCTTACAAACCTTGATTTTTATATTATTGTTTCTTCTGGTTTGAAATTTGTTTTTAAATTTTCATTGTGGTATTGATACATGCTTAGTTGTAAGAGGGGACAAATTCAATCTTTTTTTGACATTAGGTTAACCTAGAAATAATGACATTAAGAAAACCTTCTGAAGGGAGGGCAGTAAATTCAAGGTAGAGTCCTAGGATTGTCCTCAGTCCCAGTGAAGACCCTATGGCCAATATTTGGATATTTCAACATCTGCAGTATTGAAGCCAGCCGTGTCTCCTCAGATGGAAATTGCCATGTGCAGAATGACTTGGTAGAAAATGGTGTACATTCTATATAATCTTCTAACAGCAGAATGCGACCAGTGGCACTTACCCTAAAAAAAATAAATTACCCGAAATTTGCAGCACATTCATATTCAATTTCATCACAGCAGATGCTCATTAGTATGTTGTTATTAATTGGTATTCACTTTAGGTTTTGTTTAAAATGAAGATAATAATTAGGTTTTAATTACTGCATCATTCTGGGGGGGTTGTCTGTGGGGAGAGGGAAAGAGTGAAATGCCTCTTAAAGCACTGAACTATTTCCTGATGCTTATTCAGCAACGTGTGTTGCCAAAGACTTTGAAAAATAACTTCATCTTTACAAAAAAAGGATTCTGAAATGAAGAAATTACTGTGTGTTTTTTAAGCCCATCGTTATCAAGAACTTGCTGTAAATTGTCTACTTGATGGACATACTGAATCAGATGATAATGTGCACCACCATTCTTTCTAATCAAATTACCAAAAAGACTTCTTGGAAAAGTAACCCTCACAAGCGGCTGATTAATGAAGTGGTGGCAATGTTTTGTATTAGAACTAATTGAAGTAATCCAAATAAGTTATTTCTGTAGCCTATGGAAATAATTTCCTTTGCAAAGAAGTACAGTGGAGTTGGCAAACCAGTATTTTTTTTTTCACCCTCTGTTGTTCCACATTTGCAGAGTAGCTAAGTTAACATAGATATTGCAAATAAAATGGATAGAAAACGAAGTAATTGAGTGGCAGGGAAAACAAGAAAGTTTATTTCAGCCTTTTTATAAAGAAGACTAATAATTTACGTATAGCCTAAAGGTGTATGGAAATTGAACAATGCTGGAATTCAAAGGCATATCTTTAGTAAAATGCTGTAGAAATAGCATTTTTTAATGCATTCATTTAAAAGAGACATTCACGTTCAAGAGTTTAAACATGTTCCTTAGACCAAACTTCCTGGAGAACCTATGGCTCACATGGCATTGTGTCGTCTTCTACAACCGTGCACAATCAAACCCTCCAGAAGCTTATAGTCTAAATCAGGAAACGTATAGGATCTATCACATATCCACTGTGTACTTTGTAGCAGTCATGGTGCTAGGTGCTTTTCGTATGATATCTTGTTATTTTAACATTCCTGAAATACATTAGTCTTGTTTTACACATGGAGAAATTGAGGTATGAATATGTTAAGCAATTTGTCAAAGGTCACCCAAGGCTTTAGTGGTAGAAATAAATTTCAAGCCAGATTTAGTCTGACCCAAAGCCTAGGATCTTTCTGCTATTCCAGTCTTCCATGGAGAGATACACATAAGACACATTAGAAATCAATTCAAAGGAGTAGTGTTGTATCATTAGGCAATATGTCAAAGCTAAATGAGAGGTGTGAGACAGATTTTTTGAATCTCTTCCTTCCACAAACATTTGTTGAGGGCCGGGTGCATGCCAGGCTGTGTCTTAGGTACTAGGAGTGCAGAGGGGAGTACCTGTGGTCCCTGCCCTCAGCAGCTCACATCCTAGGAGGCTCAAGGGGTGACCAAACCAGTGAGGACTACCTGGGGTGGGAGCTCTGGGCTGGAGGGTGTAGTGAGCCATGTAGACACAGGAGAAGCAACTATGTCTGTCAGGTGGAAATTGAACAGACAGAATCATGGAGACAAAAGGCTTCCCAAAGATGATGATGACTGTGGGGTCTGGTGAGGTAAATAGTAACAGATTGGATCTTTAATCAAGACCAGAAGGATAGACCTGAAAGTGGTGGAATTGCTTGGGCATGGGTGCAGAGGAAGGAAGGCTACATTGCCTGACTGTAGCTGGGATGGTGATATCGCACACTTTATCATGTGTGTGGCGAGGGTGCTAGTACGGATTTTTCAGCAAAGACTATCCTAAGCTGGTTTTTCATTTCTAGATATGTGGCTCATGATCTCTGTCAGTCCTAGTGAGGTTTAGAGTTCTGAATCTACTATATGGTATAATACCTAGATTTAACTGTATCTTCACCATTTGTGAAGTAATGGGGTTTGATAACATCTTCATTATATTTTATAGTTATAGTGAGTGCTGGATTATCTATGCTTGTAGTAGAACAATGGTGTTTACTTTGGGGGTATGTTTTGGGTTTTTTGGCAGCTAATTTTCCTTCATGATTTGATATTTTTCAGGCTTCACCCAAGTGAATTTTACTTCAATGAGAATGTACCAGCTGATGATGCAAGGAGGCAGGCCTTGCATGTTCTGGGTTGTGTGAGGGTGATAACTTGACATTAAGATTTTGCTGTGGATAATCTCTAAGGTCATGAGCCCAAGTCTTCATACCTCAAGGAATTTAATTCAGGGGCAAGTCGTATTAACAGATGATTTTTGATCTGAGGTGGGCGGATCAAGAGGTCAGGAGATCGAGACTATCCTGGCTAAAATGGTGAAACCCCGTCTCTACTAAAAATACAAAAAATTAGCTGGATGTGGTGGGACGTGCCTGTCGTCCCAGCTATTTGGGAGGCTGAGGGAGGAGAATCGCTTGAACCCGGGAGGTGGAGGTTGCAGTGAGCTAAGATCGCGCCACCAAACTCCAGCCTGGACGACCAGAGCCAAACCCCAATTTTAAAAAAAAAAAAAAAAAAAGTGATTTTAGCTAATTTCTGCTCTGTCCCTACAAATGAAGACAGAAAAGACTGGTTATGTTCCCATGAAAATATCTTAAAATATAAAGTAAAAGACTGTATTGTCAAACCAGTTCAAAAGAAAGTCATTTGAAATAAATACTACAACCATTTCAGAAAACAGTTAGGCAGTACCTACTAAAGCTGAATATTTGCGTGCCCTATGACTCAGCATTTCCTCTCTTCCAAACTAATCAACAGAAAAGTATACATATTAATATGTGCTTCAAAGACTTGTACAGGAATATTCACAGCTGCATCATTCCTTTTTGTTTATTTGTTTTGAGATGAAGTCTTGCTCTTTTGCCCAGGCTGCAGTGAAGTGGTGCGAGCAATCTCGGCTCACTACAACCTCTACCTCCTGTGTTAAAGCGATTCCACTGCCTCAGCCTCCGGAGTAGCTGGAACTACAGGTGCACACCACCACATCTGGCTAATTTTTTTGTATTTTTAGTAAAGATAGGGTTTCACCATGTTGACCAGGCTGGTTTTTAACTCCTGACCTCAAGTGATCCACCCACCTCAGCCTCCCAAAATGATGGGATTACAAGCATGAGCCACTGTGCCCAGCCAGCATCATTCTTAATAGCCAGAAAACAGAACTACTTAAATGCCCATCATCTACAGAATGGATAAATTGATTTTGGTTTATTCATTTAGTGAAATACTTCACAACAATGAGAAGAAATGAATGACTGCTACACAAAACAACATAGATGACTCTCACAGACACAGTATTGAGAAAAAGAAGGCCGAGTGTGAGAACAGTCTGGGCAACATAGCAGGACCTCATCTCTACTAAAATTTAAAAAGAAAGAGCTGGGTGTGATGGCATGTGCCTGTGGTCACAGCTACATGGGAGCCTGAGGTGGGAGGATTGCTTGAGCCCAGGAGTTTGAGGCTGCGGTGAACTATGATTGTACCACTACACTCCAGTTTGGGCAACAAAGTGAGACCCTGTCTCACAATAGATAAAATACAAATAAAAATGAAAGAGTAACCAAACAGGAAAGGACAAAAACTATAGGATTGCATGCACATAAAATTTTAAAGGCAAATTTATTGTTAACTTTAAGGGGAAGATGGGGAATAGTTAGGGGAACAAGGGGGACCTCTGGGGTGCTAGTAATGTTTCTTGCTCTGCATGTTGATCCCAGAGATGTGTTCATTTTGTTCATCAAGCTGTACACCTAGTATTTGTGTACTTTTTGTGTTTATAATTCAGTAAAAATTTAGGACCAAAAAAATGCAAGTCAGCTTTAACACTGCCCTGTATTTTATATAACAGAAAATATATCCTATCCTAATCTTGAAATAACTTGCTTGAACAAGCAGGTATCTTCCTCAGAAATGATTCTCATGAAAACTTTTCAGCCTGTTTTGGATAGCATAAATTCCTTGATCTTGAGCCAGGTCAGAAAGATCAGAGTCTATGGTTCCAGGCTAGAGTGCAG